CTAGAATCATTTGGATTATTTCAGCCCTGGAATTGACAAACTCTACAAAACAAAAGTACAGTTTCCCTCGTTTATCGCGGGGGTTTTAAAAATAAAATAATAAATAAATGAATTAATTAAACACGTCTAAAATGAAAGCAATGCAGCTTTAGTCCACGCATGAGGTCAAATGATAAAATATGTTTATTTTGTTATTCCACATTATTTTAAACGGGCCGGTCAGAGTCAAACAAATGGCTGGACGTGACCCCGGAGCTGGACGATGCTCAGGTTTGATTTAGAGCTTTGGTGACTAAGTTGACTAAGTGAATGTAACGTCACCACAGAGTTCAACGTCGCTCAGATGAGGCTCACGATGCTCACGGTTACGGGAGTGAACCTGTTATGAATAGGATTTTTTGACAGACAAAACAATGAAAATATAATCCAGGATCATGTGTCGTGATTTAATATGAACATTTTAAGACCAAAGTGTCGAGGCTCACAGCAGCAGGAACAGAGCAAGATCCTAATGTGAGTCCATTAGAGCTAGAATCAGAAGGAGCCAGAAGAGCCTCCTGACGAACTTCCTATTTGACACGCGGCGGCTACAGCGTTAACTCCGTCCACTCATATATACAGACTATGGTAAAGAAAGACTATAGGGTCAGTCTGTATGAAATCAGCTGTTTTCAAGGAATCTCCCCTATGAGTCATCTGAGATTGAAAAAAATAAAAAATTCTAAAATCACCAAATGAAAAAATCTCAAATTTTAGCTCAGTCCCTTGAGTCGTTCCTGAGTTACGGCCCGTTGAGTTTTTGGGGCGATGCTCACTTTTTCTGAAGCCTTAATTTATAAACATGTTTGAGAAACCAGAACTTTATAAAAAATAGAGCTGGGAAACTGAAAATTTGTATTATTGTAGATTCTTGGACATAGATTCTGAATCTGTTGTTAAATATTGGGTATATTTATTAAGGGGGGCGCTGTGGGTCTCCAAAATCTCACATTTGGTTGCCGCTCAAATTTTTTTTCAATTTTTGAGGTCAAAGATCTATTTACTCCAAGTAAATATTTACAAATGAACTGTTGAACCTGAATATTTGAGAGAATGAACATTTCTGACAACAACCTCACACTTTTCTGAGTTTTCATGTGGATGATGTAGAGTCTCAAATATGGCCACAGACCAAATGTGATCTTTTTGGTCTCTTCTTTGGAGCCTCGGTTCCTCGTGTGGCACTGTTAGATGTTGATACATTTTTTACCAGAGAAACTTTGGCAAATTCTGATTAGTTTAAAGTAATAAAAACATCTACTATTAACTTCCTTCATTGCAATGGAATTTTTGAAAATGAGCTCTCACAGGTCATTTAAGATAAGATAAGATAAGATAAGATATGCCTTTATTAGTCCCACAGTGGGGAAATTCCAGTGTTGCAACGTGCAATTTCAGAACAGCAGGAAAAGGCAACATACAATAAAACAGATAATAGATACTGGCTTAAAAATAATTTAAAAATAGAATTAAAAATAATTGCACATGGATATAGTTGAATGACACATGTGTTTGTTGTTCAGTCTGACAGCAGCAGGAAGGAAAGATCTGTGAAACTTCTCCTTCACACATCGAGGCTGAATCAGTGTCAGTGAAGCTGCTCCAGAGCAGACAGAGCCTCCTGCAGGAGGTCAGACTCATGACCAGCACAGAGACGACCTCAGCCAGGACCCTCCTGTCCCCCACCTCCTGCACTGAGTCCAGAGGACAGACCAGGACAGAGCTGCACTTCTTCATGACCTTGTCCAGCTTCTTCCTCTCCCTCTGTGATGCTGCTGCTCCAGCAGACCACACCGTACAGGATGGCTGATTTTTGGTGGAGCTTAGGGACTTTTCCACCTGCAGAAAGATTTAATTATCTTTAATAGACTTAAACACTATTTGCTTGTTATAAGGGAAGACAATTGGAGATAATTCAGAATCTATGACCAAGAACCTACCATAATACAAATGTTCAGCTTCCCAGCTCTATTTTTGATGAAGTTCTCGTCTCTCAAACATGTTTATAAATTAAGGCTTCAGAAAAAGTGAGCATGGCCCCAAAATTTCAACGGGCCATAACTCAGGAACGACTCAAGGGATTGAGCAAAATTTTTAAATTCTTTCATTTGGTGATTTTAGAAATTTTTAGAATTTTTTTTCAGCCAAATCTGAAATGGCTCATAGGGGAGGGCGGCTGATTTCATATGAACTTGACCCAGTGGTGTAATATGAGCCCTTTAATGCCATACCTTGGGACATTACAGATACAACAATCATAAATGCACAGAGACGGAGCAGATTCTTCACCTCATCAGTAATAAAGTGTAATTCCCATTATGTCAGAAATCCATGTTGAATTCCTGGTCCTGGTTCCTTGTGAACACCTGATGAGACGATAGAGACGCTTTGGTGTCCGCGCTGGAGTGACGCACACCTGGTCACGGTCCCTCGGGTCGTCTCTGGCCTCGGCTCCGGTGATGAACATTCTCTACATTCTGTCTGGACTGAAGCTCGTTGACTCATTTGTGAACCGCAGAATTCAACCAAATACCTGCCCCAAAGTGTCGTTAATGTTGCCACGGGCGTCCGAGGAAGAATTTGATCTGAGGAGGATGTGACGTTCAGAGGAAATAAGAACAGTAAATGAATAATGTTTTAGCTCGTTAGGTTGGATGAGCGGGTGAGGGGGAGAGGCAGAGCTTGGACGCACTTTGACCCCGGCTCTGTCCTTAAAGTTCATGAACATCAGCGGTGACAAAACGCAGCCCTGTGTCTCTCCACGCTTACGTCACAAACCAGGAAGACGTTTGGAAAGACGCGATTACAACTTCCCACGCCCAGTTTTCTTCACCTCCATGTCATTGTAGAGTTCTGTTATGTTCAGCTCATCAACAATACACGCATCCCGAATTTTGGACTTCCGGTCATGGCGCATTTCATACTGGAAAAAAGAGAATCAAACCGTCATATTTGTTTTCCCAGTGGGATGTGTCTTTTGTCAAAGTCGATCTTTTCAAGTCTTTTGAACCATATCACTTTTGTTTCTGGTTCTGATATTGTCATATTTTAGTTTTGGGATTCGGACATCGTAATTGTGTGGTTGTTGGATCCTAACAGCGGAAAATGAGCTTCGGAAGTTTGCGAACTCCATAAATGCAAAAGTAAAACGTGTGTGACTGCAAACCTCCGTTCAAACTGGTTAGGTTCGGTCGCTTTATTTGTACTCGTAGGTAAATTTGTTTTGCAGGTTTGAGAGGCAGGTTCCACATTTCACATTTCATTCATCCACAAAACACGTATAAAAACACAATTACAAAATAAAGTGTTACAGTGCTCCAGTGCAGAATGGTTTGTTCCATAAATAATTAGTTAAATTCATCCATGACGCTTGGCTAATATCACAATAAATTTTAAATATGTTAAAAACACACAATCTTAGATAAATAGATTACAATTTATTCATAAGTACGACAGCAGCCGGAAGGAAGCTCCTTTTAAAACAATTAGTTCTAGATCTTGGGACTAAAAGCCTCTGACCAGAGAGAAACTCTGAGTTTAGTGGATGTTGCACGTCTTTTAAAATCCTCTGGGACGTCGTCTGTAAGTGTCTCGAGTACAGAGTCCAGCGGCTCTGAGGATGGACAATCACCTCACTCGCCCATTTAACCGACTGAATCAGGGAGTTCTTGTTTCTCTTCCTGACGGAATTGAAAAATAGTGAAAGGTGAAGGTGATGGGCAGGATTGATCCACAGGAAGGACTTAAAAGGAAACCTTTGACTGCCTAAGAAATCATCCCGATTTTGCAGAGAACATTTTGTATGTGGAGCGACAACAAAGCAACGAACCGTTTCAGTAGTGAGCGTTTGGTTTGGTGCAGGTCTGTGCAGTGAGTTTGTGCAGTTTGTGTGTGTTTATATTCGGCGACTACACATGCAGCTACACGGAGACTCGACTCTTTAATATTCACGATGAACTTGTTGTGATTGGTTCAGTGTTTCCTGCAGCGTTTTATAGTTAGAGCGACGCCTTCACAACAACTGCCCCCTGACTTGACTATGTCCCTCCAAACCATGTGAATCGATCATTGTGCTGCGGTCCTCACTTTTCACCTTTTGCATAGAATCTCTGCCCGTGCCCTTTTATACCCTTGACCTCTGACCCTAGCGAAAGTGTATTTTCATCTGCTGAGGATGTTGTACCTGCAGCAGATCTGCACTTACTGCAGACAATGTGGACAAGTTGTTTTTTTCTGACCAGAAATCTGAAGTTTGAGTTTAAGTTCATGCTGGAACTGTTCGTGCTGCACTTTACTTTTTTCAAACATTTGTTGCTTATTTGAGAATATTTTATTTAACTTATTAGTTTTACCAAGCAGCACTTTACATTTATTTTATTTTCCTGTTTGTGTAATGTTAAAACAAACTGTTGGTTTAATAAAAATACAAATAAACAACGAGCAAATGGTTTTACATTTTGTTCCCAAACTGAACCAAAAATTAATTAAACCGTGACTTCTACACCAAAGTACGTAGCAAACTGTTATTTTTGTGCCGTTACACCCCTAATACATCAGATACTGCCAATAATACCTCGTGAAATATGTGTATTTTTATTGCATGATTTAAGAAAGTGGAAAGTATGAACGGAGCTTTTGAAAAAGGTGACGCGTCGTCTTTCTCTCGACTTCCTCCTTCGCTCCTCGCACAGAACCCGGCGCGCTCCTTCAATTAGTCTCCTAAAGTCTGCATTGTGAAAAAGCCTTAAGACTGTTTAGCTCGCGGTGATCTCCTCTTACAGGAATTACAGCGAACAAAGAGCCCCAACCTGCTCATTCAGGCCTTAATTAGTCCACATGCGGCGCTCGTCATTAGCCCAAGAATCTGGAAACGTGAAAAGCGGCCGAGCTGTGACGCAGATCTCGGTCGGCCTTTAATACGGCCGGTCCAGGGGGGTCAGAGCACAGAAGCGGACCAGAGGATGTCCACCGCGCTCGGGCTGTTCGTTCTGCTGATGCTGGGGGGTCTGGGGGGGGCGGCGTCCCAGGTCCAGATCTACGGGAAGTCGGTGTACGGCGGAATGAAGAGCGGCTACGTGGGCAGGCCGGGCTCGGGAGGGCATCTGACGCGCACTCCGGTGAGTATCCGGCCAGGGAAAGGGGAGTTAGGTTAAGGTTTTAGGAAGAGAGAGCGAGAACTGACGCCTGTGACTGAATGAAATATAAATACAGTTAATGCCGTACTAGGGAACATCTACCTGTTAATGCAAAGAGCGTCTGTCTGTGTCTTCATTTGTTTGACTTTTCCACGCATAACTCTCGAACCGCTCGTCCAAATGATCTCAGATTTGGAGAGTGTCTTCCTAACGGTTTGGGGGTGTTCTGTGCCAATTTTCATGTTTTTAGGACAAAAAATGCCAAAGATCTGGTTCCAAACACACCAACAATTTCACGACAAACCATCAGCTTCTTACTTTTCATTCTTATTCTTACTGGTAATTTTAGAAAGTGATATTTTTTTTGTTTTTTTAATCATTTTTTTTTTACATACATTACTAAAATACATTTTAAAGGATGTGTAATTTATTATCATTATTATTATTAATTATTTGTGTTTAAATGTTTAGCTGTATGGAAGATTGTAGCTGCCAACGGAGCGAATGTACATTTTGGCTTTTTTTTTTTTTTTTTGTCCAGCATAAGATTGTGTTAACTCTTAAAAAAAAATTAAATTAAATAAAAAATTACATTAGCTTTTTTTGTTGTTGTTGTTTTTTATCATTTTCAAGATATTTAATAATATTTTTTACCAGAAATTGGTATTGTCACGAATAGGAGTGTGCAAAAATATCAAAATATCAATATCGTATCGTTCATATATCGTTTATTTTACTAAATTATTTTGTTACAGCTACAGTTTTGTTGTTTTTTTTCAGAGGAAGGAAACTTACTTATGTGACACATTTGACGTTTTGGTGATTTAAATGTGTTTTAAATTAACTTTGCACAAGACGTTGTTTAACAAAGACTTTTAGTATCACAGACATGATTTAGACTTTATTTTTTATTGAACCGTATCAAATCAATCTGAAATGTATCGTATCGAGATGTATCGTATCACCAACTTCTTAACGATACTCAGCCTTAGTCAAGAAATGTTTTTAGCCGTGCTCTTAAAGAAAATGAAGCAAATATTACAGCAAAACCTGTTCTGCAAAATGGACTGACTATAGAAAATTTCAACAACATCTGCATCTTTTTCTTATTCAAATAAATGTTTAATAATAGTTTTGCTTAAACATTGAATCCAGAACAAGCAAAATATAAAATAATAACAACATTTTAAATCAATAATGTCTCTTATACAGATTTGATATGATCTCACGGGCCAAATATAATTATATCGCGGGCCGAATTTGGTCCCCGGGCCTGAGTTTGACATGTCTGCTTTATTATAATTATTTGTGTTTAAATGCTGAGTTGTATGGAAACTTGTATGTACTTTTTTTTTTTTTTTTTTTTTTGTCCAGCATAAAATCGAGTTAACTCTTTAAAAAAAAAAAAAATTAATATTACATTTGCTCTTTGCATTTATTTATTTATTTTTTTTTTTCCATTTTCAAGATGCTTCAAATTTTTATAAAAAATTGGTTTTGTCAAGAATAGGAGTGCGCAAAAATATAAAAATATCGATATATCGTATCGTTTAATGTGATGATTCTGTATCGATATCGTGGGCTGTTGTATCGATATGTCACCAAGAGTATTTTTTGGTTTATTTTACTAAATTATGTTTTTTACAGCTACAGTTTTGTCGTTTGTTTAGTGGAAGGAAACTTGATTTATGCGACACATTTCACATTTTCACTGTTTTGATGATTGAAATATTTGTGTTTTAAATTAACTTTGCACAAGAAATGATTTAACAAAGACTTTCAGTGTCACAGACATGATTTACACTTTATTTTTTATTGAACTGTATTGAATCAATTTGAAATATATCGTATCGAGATGTATCGTATCTGCAACTTCTTAATGATTTCCAGCTTTAGTCGAGAAATGTTTTTAGCCAGTGGAGCAGATTTTACAGCAAACCTGCTCTGTTTTTCAGCAGGTTATAGTTGTTTCCTCGTCTGAAGTTGTATTTGGTTTGATTCGTTCATGTTTGGTGATTCTTTATTCTGCTGTTTTGAAGCTGAGGTCTGAGTGGGACAGAAGGTTCAGTCCTGCTCCCGCAAATAATTGTAATTTTCAGTCCCGCAAAAAAAAAAAAAAAAAAAACAATTTTCTTCATTATTTGTCTCCAAAACCAAAATGAAAAAACAGATAATGTTTTATTTTACAGTTTTCGATTTTGTGTTTAAATGAAAAATGGAAAAAAAAAAACGGACTAAACCAGGACTGAACCAGGACTAAACCAGGACTGAACCAGGACTGAACCAAGGACTGAACCAGGACTAAACCAGGACTGAACCAGGACTGAACTAAGACTAAACCAGGTCTAAACCAGGACTAAACCAGGACTGAACCAGACTAAACCCAGGACTAAACCAGGACTAAACCAGGACTAAACCAGGACTGAACCAGGACTAAACCAGGACTGAACTAAGACTAAACCAGGACTAAACCAGGACTGAACTAAGGACTAAACCAGGACTAAACCAGGACTGAACCAGGACTAAACCAGGACTGAACCAGGACTGAACTAAGACTAAACCAGGACTAAACCAGGACTAAACCAGGACTAAACCAGGACTAAACCAGGACTGAACCAGGACTGGACTAAACCAGGACTGAACTAAGGACTAAACCAGGACTAAACCAGGACTGAAACCAGGACTAAACCAGGACTGAACCAGGACTGAACTAAGACTAAACCAGGACTAAACCAGGACAGGACTGAACTAAGACTAAACCAGGACTAAACCAGGAACAGGACTGAACTAAGACTAAACCAGGACTGAACCAGGACTGAACCAGGTAAACCAGGTCTAAACCAGGACTAAACCAGGTCTAAACCAGGACTAAACCAGGTCTAAACCGGTCTCAGTCCCAGTCTGGTCCCGGTGTAAGTCCTGGTCTCAGTGCTGATCTTGTCCCAGTCTAGTTCTGGTCTTAGTCCCTGTGTGGTCCAGGTCTAAGTCTCAGTCCCTGTCTCTGTCCTTGTCCTGGTCCTGGTCTGATTTCGGTCTCAGTCCTGGTCTGGTCCTGGTCTCAGTACTGATCACCCGACAGTTTACACGGGTGCAACTCCAGGCCCGTCCTGACACTCCTGGTTTAGTCCTGGTTTAGTCCTGGTTTAGTCCTGGTTCAGTCCTGGTTTAGTCCTGGTTCAGTCCTGGTTTAGTCCTGGTTCAGTCCTGGTTTAGTCCTGGTTTAGTCCTGGTTTAGTCAGTCCTGGTTAGTCCTGGTTTAGTCCTGGTTCAGTCCTGTTTTAGTCTTAGTTCAGTCCTGGTTAGTCCTGGTTCAGTCCTGGTTTAGTCTTCAGTCTGGTTTAGTCCTGGTTTAGTCCTGGTTTAGTCAGTCCTGGTTCAGTCCTGGTTTAGTCCTGGTTCAGTCCTGGTTTAGTCCTGGTTCAGTCCTGGTTTAGTCCTGGTTCAGTCCTGGTTTCAGTCCTGGTTCAGTCCTGGTTTAGTCCTGGTTCAGTCCTGGTTTAGTCCTGGTTCAGTCCTGGTTTAGTCCTGGTTCTGGTTTAGTCCTGGTTTAGTCAGTCTGGTTCAGTCCTGGTTAGTCCTGGTTCAGTCCTGGTTCAGTCCTGGTTTAGTCCTGGTTTAGTCCTGGTTTAGTCCTGGTTCAGTCCTGGTTTAGTCCTGGTTTAGTCTGGTTTAGTCCTGGTTTAGTCCTGGTTTAGTCCTGGTTTCAGTCCTGGTTTAGTCCTGGTTTAGTCCTGGTTCAGTCCTGGTTTAGTCTTAGTTTAGTCCTGGTTTAGTCCTGGTTTTAGTCCTGGTTCAGTCCTGGTTCAGTCCTGGTTTAGTCCTGGTTTAGTCCTGGTTCAGTCCTGGTTTAGTCCTGGTTTAGTCCTGGTTTAGTCCTGGTTTAGTCCTGGTTCAGTCCTGGTTTAGTCCTGGTTTAGTCCTGGTTCAGTCCTGGTTCAGTCCTGGTTTAGTCCTGGTTTAGTCCTGGTTTGGTTTAGTCCTGGTTCAGTCCTGGTTCAGTCCTGGTTTAGTCCTGGTTCAGTCCTGGTTTAGTCCTGGTTTAGTCCTGGTTCAGTCCTGGTTCAGTCCTGGTTTAGTCCTGGTTCAGTCCTGGTTCCTGGTTTAGTCCTGGTTCAGTCCTGGTTCAGTCCTGGTTTAGTCCTGGTTTAGTCCTGGTTCAGTCCTGGTTGTCCTGGTTCAGTCCTGGTTTAGTCCTGTCCTTTTAGTCCTGGTAGTCCTGGTTTAGTCCTGGTTCAGTCCTGGTTCAGTCCTGGTTTAGTCCTGGTTCAGTCCTGGTTCAGTCCTGGTTAGTCCTGGTTTAGTCCTGGTTTAGTCCTGGTTTAGTCCTGGTTTAGTCCTGGTTTAGTCCTGGTTCAGTAAACTGAGTGAACTGAAATAGCAAATCATTATCTGTTTTTTTTTTATTTTTGGTTTTGGAGAGAAATAATGAAGAAAATTGTAGATTTTTTTTAATTTTTGGTTTTATTTTGAAAAACAAATGACACAGAATAAACACGTACGTCGTCTTTAACCTGTGGATTTCTTCTTCTTTGTTTTCTTCCCCAGAGCAAAAACACGATCCACCGGAGTCTGGACCTGGAGGCGTTCAACCTCCACGTGACGCCCACGTCCAGCAGGATCAGCCTGCCCACCGTCATCCGCCTGTACCCGCCCACCGCCAAACCCCTGCACCTGCACGCCAACATGCCGCTGCGCTTCGGACGCGCCAACGGCCCCGCCCACGACGGCTCCACCAACCCCAACATGCCCCTCCGCTTCGGCAGGAACAGCGACCCCGCCCGCCACCAGCCCGCCAACCCCAACATGCCGCTGCGCTTCGGCCGGGACAGCGACGCCGACCCCGACGCGACCGACCCCGACCGCGACCCGACCGCGCCGCGCCGAGGTTCGTGCGGGAGAGCGATTCCACGTCGGGAAACACCCCCACGATGCCCCAGAGGTTCGGCCGGGCGGGTCTGAGGTTCTGGTTGTGTCCGATGTGTCCCGACGGAGACGAGGTCCGGGAGACGCAGCGGGACGGGCTCTACTGGAGCCTGCGCAGGACAATTCACAGTTTCTGATCGCCGTCCGTTCCGCCGGCAGGACGCGAGAACCTGTGTGTCACTCGTTTTTCAAAATAAAACCAGAAAATAGAAACTAAAAACATAACTATTTTCTTCATTATTTGTCTCCAAAACCAAAATGAAAAAAGGATCATTTGTTTCCCGTTTCCATGACTTAAACTGCACTGCCGGACTTTTGCGCTGCCTACGGACTAAACCAGGACTAAACCAGGACTAACCAGGACTAAACCAGGACTAAACCAGGACTAAACCAGGACTAAACCAGGACTGAGTGTCGGGACGGGCTTGGAGGTGCGCCTGCGTAGACTGTTGGGTGATCAGAACTGAGACCGGGACCAGACCAGGACTAAGACTGGGACCAGACCGGGACCAGACCAGGACTGAGACCGGTTTTGTTCTGGTTCACTTCTGTTTTAGTCCTGCTGTAGTCCTGGTTTAGTCCTGGTTTAGTCCTGGATTAGTCCTGGTTCAGTCCTGGTTCAGTCCTGGTTTAGACCTGGTTCAGTCCTGGTTTAGACCTGGTTTAGACCTGGTTCAGTCCTGGTTTAGACCTGGTTCAGTCCTGGTTTAGACCTGGTTCAGTCCTGGTTTAGTCCTGGTTTAGACCTGGTTCAGTCCTGGTTTAGACCTGGTTCAGTCCTGGTTTAGACCTGGTTCAGTCCTGGTTCAGTCCTGGTTTAGACCTGGTTCAGTCCTGGTTTAGACCTGGTTCAGTCCTGGTTCAGTCCTGGTTTAGACCTGGTTCAGTTCTGGTTTAGTCCTGGTTCAGTCCTGGTTTAGACCTGGTTCAGTCCTGGTTCAGTCCTGGTTTAGACCTGGTTCAGTCCTGGTTCAGTCCTGGTTTAGACCTGGTTCAGTCCTGGTTTAGACCTGGTTCAGTCCTGGTTCAGTCCTGGTTTAGACCTGGTTTAGTCCTGGTTTAGACCTGGTTTAGACCTGGTTCAGTCCTGGTTCAGTCCTGGTTTAGACCTGGTTCAGTCCTGGTTTAGACCTGGTTCAGTCCTGGTTTAGACCTGGTTTAGACCTGGTTCAGTCCTGGTTCAGTCCTGGTTTAGACCTGGTTCAGTCCTGGTTTAGACCTGGTTTAGACCTGGTTCAGTCCTGGTTCAGTCCTGGTTTAGACCTGGTTCAGTCCTGGTTTAGACCTGGTTCAGTCCTGGTTTAGACCTGGTTTAGTCCTGGTTTAGACCTGGTTCAGTCCTGGTTTAGACCTGGTTCAGTCCTGGTTTAGACCTGGTTCAGTTTGGCATCACAGTTTAAGTTACAAAAACGGTCGTTATCCCTTTTTTCCATTTTTCATTTAAACTAAATCGAAAACTGAAAAAACAAATCATTATCTGTTTTTTCAATTTAGTTTTGGAGACAAATAATGAAGAAAATTGTTGTTTTTTCATTTTCTTATTTTGTGTTTTATTTTGAAAACCAATGACCCACAGCTTGGTGAGCGTCACGTTGCTGCGTGTGCACTGGTCTCTCCTCTGGGGGTCGAACAGAAGAAGAAAACCGACGCCCAGAGGTAAAAGTTCAGTTTCAGCTGAAGTTTTTCCTCTGGGCGAGACTAGAATCGTTAAAAATATAAAATAAATAAGCATTAGGTCGACTGTACATGATTCTTGCACTTGAAATGGAACAGTCTTGTATTTTTTTGCTCGGAATTTTGCATTAAACGAAAATATCCACAAATTTAAGCTGCTGTTTTTCATTCCTCCAAACAAAAACATGTCTTAAACTGCCTGTGCGTGTTTTTTCTCTGTGTATTTGTGTAAAATGTGTCTGACTCCAGTACAGATATAATGTTCACAGAGCAAAAAATAAATCTAGACAAGTTAAGACGACTTGAATTAAGAACATTTTACGTTTTTAGTAAATTTCACTTGACGAGTAAAATGATCTGCCAGTGGAACAAGACTTTTTGTACTTAAAATATGAAAATACAACTTTCTACACTTAAAATAAGAAACAAAATCTAATGTTGCTTGAATTAAGAAAAACAAACTTATTCCATTGGTCGATCATTGGACTTGTCAAGTTGAATCGACTCAAATAAAGTCAAATGTTCTTAATTTAAGTCGTTTTAATTTAACAAAATATGACTTTTGTCTGTGTAAGCAGCTCTTGAGGTCAAAATAAGTCGGCTGTCGGATAATCAGGAAGTGTGTATTAGCATGCTAGTTGTTGTTATTGCTGTTGTCTGGTCTCTGAAAGTTGTGAAAAGCTTTTATAAACTAAACTTAAAATAATCCGGATGCTCTGAACACAAAAGTGGAGTGAGGAAGAACTTTGCAAACGGTTTAAAATCAACTTGTTCTGTTTTTTTTTTTTTTTTTTTTTTAAATGTTTTTAAGACAGTAAAAAGTTATAGAGGTACAGGTGGGTACAGAGACATTTATAGAGACTTTAAGTTCCAAGAAGATGGACAAAAGTAAATGAACATAAATTACTTTTTGGAAAATATTTTGGTAAATATTGAGAAATTTACAAATTCAGCAACATAATTAAAATCCTGTGTCATTCATTCACACGTGTTTATTATTAGTCTGTCCACATCTATAAAACTCTAAACCAGGCATGTCCAAACTATGGCCCGGGGGCCAAATACGGCCCTAAGACAAATGTTTCTTGGCCCTCAAACTTCCAGATAAATTGGCCCAAATTAACTTGCATCAATTAAAAAATATTTTTTTACAGCAAGTTTTTTTGAAAATCGATTTTGATAAAGCCAATATTTAATATTATATTCTGTGTTTAGATATGTGGCCCTTGTTGAAAAAAGTTTGGACACCCCTGCTGTAAACGCTCTGTTCCACCTTGTGATGTCATCAAGTGGTAGTTTTCAACAGCTCCTTTTGCATTTTGAGATTGGCTCCTACACTAGAAAAAAATTATATCTTGTTCAATTAAAATGACTTAAATTAAGAACATTTTAATTGATTTGAGTCGATTCAACTTGAAAATGATCAACCAGTGGAGTAAGTGTGTGTTTTTCTTATTTCAAGCAAGATTCGATTTTGTTTCTTATTTTAAATGCAAAACGAATTTTTCAGATCATTTTACTCGTCAAGTGAAATTTACTCAAATCATGGTCAAACTTTCTTCATTCAAGTCGTCTTAACTTGGCTAGATTCAACTCCAGGGTTTGAAATGATCCAAATGATTCAAGTGAAGGTGTGTGGAGTTTAAAAACACAGTGGAGCACGTCTCGCGTTACATCACAAAGTGTAAAAGAGAAACAGTTTGGAGTTTGAGAGAAGAACTCGGCTCAGAACTTGAACTTTTTCAGTCCCTTTCACTTTTGTGGACTGTTGGTTTGTAATGGTCCGGTTTATGTTCGATATATCGTCGTCGAACGCACAATAAAGTCTGAAAATATGAAAATCTGACCCAGAATACGACATAAAACTGATGCGTTCAGTCATACGGGTTTAAACCGAGCGCAGGATTCAACTCGACACAGTCACTTTGGTACAAATGAAAAAGTCCAGCGGGTTTAATCCTTTAACAATCCGTGTGTCGTTCGTTCATTCATTTTTCAAAATTAAAACAAAAATTAGAAAACAAATAACAATTTTCTTCATTATTTGTCTCCAAAATCAAAATGAAAAAAAAAAACAGATAATGATTCGTTTTTTCAGTTTTTGATTTTGTGTTTAAATGAAAAATGGAAAAAAATAAAAATAAATGAGAACGGACTAAACCAGGACTAAACCAGGACTAAACCAGGTCTGGAACAGGACTAAACCAGGACTAAACCAGGTCTGAACCAGGACTAAACCAGGACTAAAGCAGGACTGAACCAGGTCTGAATCAGGACTAAAACCAGGACTAAACCAGGACTAAACCAGGTCTGAATCAGGACTAAACCAGGTCTGAACCAGGTCTGAACCAGGACTAAACCAGGACTAAAGCAGGACTAAAGCAGGACTAAAGCAGGACTAAACCAGGTCTGAACCAGGACTAAACCAGGACTGAACCAGGTCTGGAACAGGACTAAACCAGGACTGAACCAGGTCTGAATCAGGACTAAACCAGGTCTGAACCAGGTCTGAACCAGGACTAAACCAGGACTAAAGCAGGACTAAAGCAGGACTGAACCAGGTCTGAACCAGGACTAAACCAGGACTGAACCAGGACTGAAACCAGGACTAAACCAGGACTAAACCAGGACTGAACCAGGACTAAACCAGAAACTAAACCAGGACTAAACCAGAACTAAACCAGGACTAAACCAGGAAAACCAGGACTAAAACCAGGACTAAACCAGGACTAAAGGAAACCAGGACTAAACCAGGACTAAACCAGGAACTAAACCAGGACTGAACCAGGACTAACCAGGACTAAACCAGGATTAAACCAGGACTGAACCAGGACTAAACCAGGACTAAACCAGGACTAAACCAGAACTAAACCAGGACTAAACCAGATTAAACCAGACTGAACCAGGACTAAACCAGGACTAAACCAGGTCTGAACCAGGTCCTGTTCTGATTATTTCTGAACGTCTGCGTCTTTAGTTTAAAAGAGTCGACAGTAAAAACCTCTGACAGGATTTAAATGTTCAAAACTTTAATCCCAAACATAAAGTGAGTGGAAAGTTGATCCTCTGCTTTTCTTCGTCCTGATGATCGTGTGTCAAGATTTATTCTCATTAATCTTCGACTCCATCAACAAACTGAACACCGTGAAAACTAAATAATTACAGAGAAAATGTCTCAGCTTTACATAAATATCTTTAAATAAATGCAGAATTCAAAACAATATATTTACTGTGTTCATCTGTCACAAACTGGAGTTGAGTAGTGTTTTTATTTAAGTTTGACGTCTTTTTCTTTACACCTTCTGTGTTTCTCTCTGTCGTCTTTTTCTCTCTTTCACTGCTGCTGTTTCTCTCTGTTTACT